ATGCTTGGTGCTTTTTATATGCAAACTCTTTTAATTGCCACAACAATACCATAAAAAATAGTCTTGAAATTATTATTATTATTTTTTGAGATAGAGTCTTGCTTTGTCGCCCAGGCTAGAGTGCAGTGGCACAAACTTGGCTCACTGCAACCTCTGCCTCCCAGGTTCAAGCGATTCTCCTGTCTCAGCCTCCTGAGTAGCTGGGATTACAGGAGCCCACCACTATGCCTGGCTAATTTTTGTATTTTTAGTAGAGACAGGGTTTCACCATCTTGGCCAAGCTGGTCTTGAACTCCTGACCCCATGATCCACCCCCCTCCCCCCCCGCCGGCCTCCCAAGTGCTGGCATTACAGATGTGAGCCACCACACCCACCCATCTTGAAATAATTTTATCGCAGTTTTAGTAATTTCTCTCTAGTCAGAGGGTAAGTTAATGACAGAACTAGGATTGGGATCCATTTCTGTGTTGGAAGTGTATCTGCTTTCTATTGTGTTGTATGCCAGGAGGGAGCTTTAGCTGCATTTGAGCAATCATAGGTGTTTCACGAATTCTCTAAGAAGTGTTCACTGGTAACACCAGTCTGTGGCACAAGTCTGAATGCTCTTGGAGGTTCTGGGTCTTTTTAAATCCCAATATCTAGCACAACATCCGGCACATAGTAGACAATCAGTATTTCTTTAATTGAAATCTAACTGCTCATGTAGGCTTGGCCTATTTGACAGTGTTTCAGCTAGGTTCCCATGTACATTTGAAAGTCATGCCTGACCTTTACACGACTAGTGGGGCATCTCTTTTGATTTTAGCTTTGTGATATAGAATATCCACAAATGAAAAAGTAGCTTTGCATTCAAACATGGAGAGTCATTAAGGAATCAGAGGGATTCTGAACACAGATCTTAATAAAATGAATATGGGAGAATACATAAAGATACAAGAAAACATTGGAAACATTGGCAGTGTTCTTTTTCTCCTCTATTTCCAGATGGCTTTAGAATACTCAGTTGTTCTGCTTGAACTGTTCCATTGTTCTTCATGGCCTGTAATCCTGAAATGTGAGACCATATTTTTCACAAATAATTCTTGCACTGAGTTGGCTATGTTTTTACAACTTAAAACATTGTACCTCATTCTCATTCATATATGAGGTTGACAAATATGAGTCAGAAAAATATCAGGACTCTGAGGAAATGGAAAGCTGAATGGTGGCCCTGTTTCCCTAACTTGGCACTAAGGAGCAAGTGATACCTTCATGCACATGGGCGTTTCTGTGCCCCCAAAGTGGAATGAGTCATGTGGACCATGTTTGCATCTGTGTTCTTTCCTTGAATGTTTCCTCTCCTGAGCAGCGGGTTCCTTTTATTGAATCTAATTCGTTGGCTGGTAACATGTTACCTGGTGAGAATTAGGATATTTTCGTCTTGTGATATTTTAAAGAAATTATCTTTATTTTTAATTGTTCATCTAGACATGCCAATGGCTACTTAGGCCACATTTTGAGCAAAACTCACAAGGTGTTTTTTTTTTTTTTCCAAACCTCACATGTGTACACAAAATGACACAATTTAAAGGATCTGTTTAAAAGAACAAAGCATGAGAAATACAGTGAGATACAAGCTCATAACCAAACCTAGATCAGTGAGCAGATCTGATTCAACATGAGAAAAGATTACAAAACAAGTCCTAGTTTTGTAGGAAGCACTAACTGAAGACAAAGTTGCAGGACACGCTGCAAGCCCCTTTGTGGGGAGCCATAAGCAGGGAGAAAGAGCCTGGTTTTTACTTAGCCTAGCAGGGAGTTACGGGTAGGTCAGGGTTTCATAAATAAGGTCCTGACAATTCATCACTGCTATCAAAAGGAAGAGCAGGTTTTGCCTATCAGGCCTGGCGGTGATACATATTCTCTCTCTGTGTCTTAATTTGATCTTAACTTTACTGCCAGCTTACTACACACAGTCCTTTGATTCCTTTCTTCTCAAGCAATGGAAGAATTAAACTTGGTAAGTCAACTATTGATGGTCCACGGACAAGGAGAACAAGATTGTAAAGAAAAAAATCTGTGGATGATCCAATAGCTGTGTTTTTTTGTTTTTGTTTTTTCTTTGAGACACAGTCTAGCTCTGTCGCCAGGCTGGAGTACAGTGGCGCGATCTCGGATCACTACAACCTCCACCTCCCAGGTTCAAGTGATTCTCCTGCCCCAGCTTCCTGAGTAGCTGGGATTACAGGCACACACTGCCATGCCCAGCTAATTTTTGTATTTTAGTAGAGACAGGGTTTCACCATGTTGGTCAGAATGGTCTTGATCTCCTGACCTTGTGATTTGCCCACCTTGGTCTCCCAAAGTGCTGGGATTACAGGCGTGAGCCACCGTGCCCAGCCACTGTATTTGAACTAGTAATTGGACTCCTATTGAAATATTGCAAGAGAACCACTAATAGGCAAGGAAAAAAAGACATTTTCAGTCATTTTCTTTTTACCAACAAATGAGGAACTCAAGAACTCTCCAGTTGAATGAGGGAGGCAGCTGCATCCAGTTTATGCCTCATTTTACTTCAGATTTTTATTGTACTAGTGGCTACATCACGGCCTTACCCGTTGGATATTTGGTAGTTTTTTCTCTGTGAGCTCTTCTTCAAGACCTAATTGTAACGTAAACACTTTTGCCCTATCAACTCTAAACTACTAAGAACACCTGCAATCTCATTTATTTAAATTATTATATAATTATAATTTAAACAAAGCAATGTTTTAGTCCCAAGGCAGAAACCCTATTAGCTAAAATAGTGTCTTTTTCTTACCTCTACTTTTCTTGTCCCCAGCAATTGCCTTCCTTGATTTGACCTCATATACATTAAAAATAGACTACTCAAAAGCCGTCTCTATACCATCAAACCAAAGTAAGACAGGTTTGGAAACAGAAATACATCTGACATATTCACTTTTGGGGCCTCACCAAGCTGAGAACTGCAGAATACTAAAGTGATAAAGAAAAATATATCAGTTCATGGTTTTACAGAAAAAAAAAAAAATACAAAGCTAGTGTTAACTTTCCACAACCTTCCTTCTTACCCACATCAATAATTTCAACTTACCATCCACCTATTTCATAAGATCGTCACACTTTCTTTAGCACCACCTGACAGTCTCTCCTACTTTAATGAAAATATAATCAACTCTCCAAAGTTTCCCCTGAACCTTAATTCTGCAAGCCTCAGTCTCTCTATAGGAACTTATTACAGGCCAATCGGTATTTCATTTGTATGTTAGGAGAAAAATCTCCGAAACAGTTGCACTTAGGAAATGAGTGCTAGCTGTCATTCTGTCAGCACGAGGATCAGGTTGATAGTGGCAGGAACAATCATCTCCCACTACCACACTGTTTAAAAAGAAAGGGGCATCAACAATTTTCACCCAACATTAGTTATGCTGAAACTTCTAAAGAAAAGGTTCAATGCACAGCATTTAGCAGCCTAGAGAAGAATGCTGTAACAGATTTTATGGCCAAGTGTCTGCAGAAAAAATGGCAACGAAATTTCAAGGTGACACTCCAAGCTAAAGACATAATTAACTACAATGACCTGCCAGGAAGGTAAAGTCTGTTATAAAACTGAAATATTTTCTTTACTTAAATAATACGAACTTCAGCTAAACAGTTGGGTAGTTGTTCACATGAGATTAAGGAAAAAGAAAAGGCCAGTTACTATTGACACTAAAGAAATGCACACCAACCAAACACCAAAAGTACTTTGGTACTGTAGCCATAATAGACAAATGTGTGGCATGGGAGCAGGGAATTCCCTGATGGTTAGATGACAGGGTCATAGAAGGTTTTCGAGACCTGCTATGTCTCCTGTGAGGCTGACGCACCACCACGTTCTGTAACAAGAGTCACATAAACACAAGCTTAGCAGCTGGCTTGTTAAAACATCGCTGCGTTGAAAAGTGACTGCTTCAGGCTTGTTGAAGGGTCTCATTAATCTGAGGAAACGATGCTTGGTGCCATAGATTAAACACTATGGTCTCAAGCGGAATGCATGTGAAGTTTCCAAAATGTTTCCTCAAAGACTTTATTCAGTTTTGGTTTGTGACCTTAGCTGGAAAACATACAGATGGACATGGGAAGGCAGTTGAGAAAGACATCTATGAGGATTTAAGTCGGGCAGCTTTCAGAAGATGAAAGATGTTTAAAGTTAAGGCCTTTATCTGCAAACAATAGTATATTAATAAACTCTATACCATATTTACAAATGCATTCTCTTGTATTAAAACTAACAGTATTCTGTTCACAGTGCCATTGTTTATACAGGTAGCAATCCCATAATACTCATGTATTTTGGCATGGGAATCAGTAGCGTTTGGTATTTACAGAAAATGTACATGGGTGAATATAAACATGTCATGAAATCCATAAAAGACAGATTGGCTAATGGTGCAAAGGAATGAACTGTACAGCACCTTCCCTTCGGATTGGATAGGAAACATGGTTTCTTAAACTGAGAAGATGCCAAGTCTCTGCCCCAAAGTGGCATAATAAAGTCAATAGCAAAACAATGAACCCCCTGTTCAAGTTTGGGTACATTGAATGATCTTAGTCCAAAGTTGCAGATCCATTGTCTAGTGCATAAAATATAAAAGTTAAAAAGATTTATTATTTTTATAATAATTATTATTAAAATAGAAGGTACTTTCTCTCACACTCTCATTTGTGCTCTTGCACTTAAGACCAATATCCTTGGCGTTGCAAATATGCTGGTGTTTCTGTCACGCAGATCAGCAGTCAGACGGCAAACGCTCAAACCCTCCAGACTTAGGAACTGCTGCCTGTTCCAGTGCGACCTGGGGCCATGGCGGACAGGGCAGGAGCACCTCCTTCCTCCTAGTCTTCTCCTGGAGCAGGGTGAGCCTGCCCGTGGGATCAGCTCCCACATTACTGAATGGAGTTGCTCATTTCGGCAGCGAATGCTGAGGTGACAAATGGCTTCTGTACATTTGCGAAAAGGAGGGGAGGCAGGTAAGTGGGAGGAAGGTGGCGTTCCAAAGAGCCCCAGGACAACACCCAGAAACTGGCTGGGCTGCTGGGTGAGGGCCCCTCCACGCTGCTTCTGCCCTCTGGGGTCCCTGCCGGAGGAAAGCATCCTCTCCGCGTCTGAGCTGGGCCGGCCTCTAGGGGCTGTCGCCTTCCCGCGCTGTCTGCTCCTCGCTCTCAGTCCCTTGGCCTGCGTGGTCCTGATCGGGCCCGCTGCCACTGCTGCCCCTGCTTCTGTGCTGCCTGGGCAACAGGCTCTTCCACTGGGCCTTGTTGTGCGCGAGGTGACCCAGCATGTTCTCCGACAGTGCGCTGTTTCCCGTGAAATGGGCCCATTCCCGAAAGAGCGGCTCCACGATGTAGCTCATGAAACCTAGAACAGGCAAGGCCAGACTTAGCACCACGGGGCGGTGAAACCTGCTGCTTTCTCCCTCCCAAGCTTGACTGGGGACCCAACATGCCCGACTAATTTTTGTATCTTTAGTAGAGATGGGGTTTCCCCATGTTGGCCAGGTTGGTCTCGAACTCCTGACTCCAATGATCCACCCGTCCTGGGCTCCCAAAATGCTGGGATTACAGGCCTGAGCCACCACGCCCGGCCTTACTTAGGTTTTATTGTATTTCCTTGATGTGTAGCTGTGGGGAGAAATGGCAAATGTTTTCAGCCTAATAAAAATTTCCAGCTCCCGGGCCAGGAGGGCAAGCAAGACGATGGTGGCTACCCTCAGCCTAGGAGCATGAGATGTGTCACTTTGGGCTTGTCCCTGAATGGCTTTGTGCCTCAGTTTCCTCATGTGTAAAAAGATGCTAAAGCGAAGACTAAACTCACAGGGCTGTTATGACAATTAAATGACTTAATGTACATACAATGCTTAGAAAACTCTTGGCACATAGAAAACTCCCAGTGAATACTGGCTATTATTTGCAGAGAGAGAAAGACGTATAAGTAAAAAATGTTTTTTAAAATAAAGTCTCTGCCGGAGCTAAAGAAGGCAGGTGGGGAAGGGATGGAGAGGGCAAATGACACCAGAAAGGGACACCTCACAAATTTAGAGCAGCTGAATAATTCATACCCTTACCCTGTGGGATATCTTTTTCAAGATGATCATTTTACAGTCCTGTCTTGCTTTCAGTTATGTTAAATAACTAAGTTTAAATAAAGTTCACTCATTTTCAATACAGATTTTTACTTGTATGAAAGTCCTGCTTTAATGACTAGATAAGATTGTTTGCTATGAGACTTCTTTGTTTGCATGTCTGTTCTCTTACATATTTAAGATTTGTTGCTTTCTAATCGTGTTTTGCTGCGTTAATGTGCTTTTCATAATAAACATGGCTTGTTTATTGGAATCATCACAAACTTGGACTTATTTAGGTTTTATTGTATTTCCTTGATGTGTGGCTGTGGGGAGAAAGGCAAATGTTTTTCAGCCTAACAAAAATTTCCAACAGCTAATCCTGTATGTTTACAGGCATGTGAATTACAAGGCTAGATTTGATTATCTTTTTGTTGGACAAATGGCAGACACTTGGCCTTTGAGAATGCCATAGAGATGGAAGAGGAATGCAGCAATACACAGTGTTACTATACATTTCTGCATTGTCTCATCTTATGTGAAATATGATTTAAATATTGTGAGATCATTGTAGAGAACCTGAACTGGAGGGGGAAAGTTAAGCCAGTGACTTGATGTCTGTATTTGGAATTTTGGTAAGGTTGTATAGGCTGTCAGCAGATGAGGATTTCATGTTTTGCTTGCTGTTCTTGAATTTTCTTTACCTCCTCCACAATATCCATATTTAATTTCTAATATCATGCACCTTCAAAGAGATGAGATATTAGATATCTAAAGACAGTTTGCAAAATTCCACTATTCTCAAGTTCAAAGTGTGAGTATTTATCAAGTTTATCTCAGTATAAAAAAGTTACAAATCTAACATTTTAAAATCCCACTCTCAAAAAAAAGAGAAGCTTCATTTTCTTAAGTGACCCTGGCATTATATTTACACTTTTCAGATATAAAGACTTCTTATGCTAGGTAGGAAAGTGATTTTAAAGTCTGAATAGACCCCAAGAGGCAGTTTTTCAAATTAAGGAAGGCTTCCACATTATCAGATTTGGAAACCTGTTCCATCAGTGTGTTCTGCCAGCCTCTCTCTTCTCAAGGGATGAACTGACAATGTTGGGCTGTTGTCCTCCTGGAGGGATGGTGGGGTGGTAGGGGGTTGGGGGGAGGAAGGGGGAGTAGGGAGGAATGGTAGCCTCAGAGTAGACAAGGATTGAAGGAAAACCTCTCTCTTTAGCCTTCTGTAGATTTCACCAATTAGAGATTCATTTGATTTAATACCTTTTTATTTTTTGTTTTAATTAATTTTTTAAGAGATGGGGTCTCACCCTGTCGCCCAGGCTGGAGTGCAGTGGTGTGATCATGGCTCACTGCAGCCTTTACCCCCTGGGCTCAGGTAATCCTCCTGCCTCAGCCTCCTGAGCAGCTGGGACTACAGGCACATGGCACACACCCAGCTAATTTTATTTTTTTGTATTTTTTGTAGATATGGGGTTTTGCCTTGTTGTCCAGGCTGGTTTTGAATTCCTGGCCTCAAGGGATTTACCCACCTCAGCCTCCCAAAATGCTGGGATTACAGGCATGAGTCACCCGCCCGGCTAATACCTTCCTTTTAAAATGTAGAATTTGGTAGAGAGAGGGAAGCGTGGAGCTGGGGAGGAGATATTAAGCCCTAGTTCCATTTGAGTAGATATAAATTACTTAAAAAGAAAAATCAGATCTAAGCCTGAGAGTAGCTCTCAGAAAATTCTCATTTTGGATTGAGGCAGGAAAAAGAGGGGAACATTTCAGTCAGAGGAATAAGGACAGAGGAAATAGCTGCATTACTTAGGACCCACTGGAAAAATCATTGTCTTAGGAGCTAGAGCCTGTAGCATCCACCAAGTTCCGTTTATCTCTTTGGGTTTTTCTGGTTTAGCCTGATCTGTCCCTGCCACTCCACTTCTCAACCCTCAACTTCTACAAGCTGGCAGATGTGGAACAGAAGCAGAGAAAGATCTACGTACTAAGGATTGCTTTATAATCACCTTCCCTTTCTCTTTATTATTGGTGTGCTGGTGTAGCATCCATAGGATTTTCCTATTCACTCAACCCCCAGCCCCTTTTTAAAAGAGGTATCTATGGTAACCACATTTTCCTGAGCTGAAAATCAGGACATACGATCTGACAAAATAAGTGTGTTCTCATGACAACAACAGGACAGAATCTCTGAAATCAGGTCTGTCTCACAAATCCAGGTTGTGTGCTGAAGCACGTGAGTCCTTTTGTTCGGGGGAGGAGGGGTTCAAAATGTCAGTTGACAGTTGCCTGGTAAATTTCTTTCCCGCTAGAGCTTAACACAGGGAGCCTCAGGATTAGGACTTTGGTTAGCATCTAATTTTGAATCACGTCTGCAGAACCTCCACGGCTAAAGCAATTGATAGGAGAGAATTGCCTCCCAGGAGGCTGAGGCTGCAGCTGCATTTCTGTTGCTGATACTCCCCCGCCAGCCACCCAGCAATTCTGTATTATCATCTTTCCTGGGTTCTAGTTTTCTTTTTATGCCACCACCCCCAGCTCCCAACTTTGGGGTGGAGGAATCTGTTTGATTGTGAAAACTACGTAACAATATTAAGGACAATTTGACTGGTAGTCAGGGTCAGAATTTATAAGGAAAAGAGTTAAAACTCCGAGTTCAGGTTCAATGGAAGGAAACTGCAAGGAAAAGAAAGACGTGCTTTAAAGGTGGGTGCAATTGGTGGAGTGTCTTAGGTGTGATAGAAATTCTTACTGGAGCAAAACTATTTCTTCCACTACAGTGCCTAAAATTTCCACAGATTTGCTGTGGAAGAGCAAGAGGTCTAGTGCATAACTTAATTAGATAAAGCAATAATTATTTTGGATGCATTGATATCATACTTTAACAGTTTCCCACCATTGACATTTGAAAGAGTGTGGTTTAGGAGAATAACCTGAAAATAAGTTTTGAAGGAAGGACTAGTGAAATAGGGGATCCCAGGATGCAGCGGGATAGCATGGCTCACAGGCTCTAGGCCTAGAGATTGGGCTCTTGGGAGCGAGTGTTAGGGATGAGGGGTAGTGACCCAGATTGGAAGGGTCCTAAGGGCAGATTCTGCTGATTCCCACCTTCAAGCCCTGAAGAGAGCGTGAATAGTTGATTCTTGTTACTTTTCTTCTACTCTTTTTGGTTTTGATTCTATTCTAAACTACAAAATTAAAATAATACAAGTTAAGGGCCTATAACAAAGCTTCGATCCTATGTTTCATAAGATCTTGACAGATAAATAGCAGAGTAGTCACGATTAAAATGTTAATTTGGACCCAGCCATTCAAAAGGATGCTGATTAAACCTCCAGTGCTGATCTTTTGAAAGCTGTGTGTAGGTCTTTTCTTTGTGACTTTTGTGAGATGTGCCAAAGGTATTTATCTGAAATTAACACTGAATTCAACTCACCAATTTGTATACTAGGGATGGAATCTTTCTGTTGATTACAAAGAGGACTGATTTCCAGTTCAAATTTCTGTTCAAGTTCACCTAAGAAGAAAAAAAACCACATTGGTAATCTAGAATTTATAAAATGAGTAGTAATAATTTTAATGACCTCGTCGGAAGAAGTTATTCTGGGAATTACTGTTTCCTGACTTGTTATCACTTAAGGACCATTCAGCACCGACTTGCTCTGCCTTACTTTGGTAGTTTCCATAATAATTTAAAATACCATGGTGCCAATGACCGTTCATAATGGCTCATTGCAAGTAGGTGTGCTCTGGGACTAGAATAAATTTTTGAACAAGACCTATAAAAACAAGAAAACAACAAATGAGAAATTTTCTCACATGAAATAAAAGTTCTGGCTTTAAGTGACAGGTTAAGAAAACAGGTTTTATCCTTCCTTCTCCCCACTCCGCTTTCACGCTACCTGACCCTAGTCTTGTTTCACCTGAGGACAACCAGGAACAGTAAGTAGGTAGGAAATGAGGTAGAAGGACTAGAAAGATCTCATCTAAGCAGCACCTCAGTCTGTAACTACAAAATTAATCAGAATCTTCCATTCTGATTCCTTAGAATTTTACCTAATGCAACTGAAGGTGAAAAAACTAAAGGTCAGAATGGTGTTTTTTTTTTTTTTTTTGAGACAGGGTCTCATTCTGTCACCCAGGCTCAAGTGCAGTGGCATGATCTTGGCTCACTGCAGCCTCGAACTCCTGGGTTCAAGCAATCCTTCTGCTTTAGCCTCCCAAGTAGCTTGGACTACAGGCATGTGCCACCACGCCTGGCTAATATATATTTTTTAACTTTAATTTTTAGTAGAGATGAGGTCTTGCTATGTTGTCCAGACTCATCTTAATCTCCTGAGCTCAAGCAATCCTCCTGCCTCCGTCTTCCAAACTGTTGGGATTACAGGTGTGAATCTCAGCACCCAGCTTGAAATGCTTTTTTTTTTTAATGCCTTTGTCAGCTGTTTAATGCCTTTGTCAGCTGTTACTTTCCATGGCAAAACCCGCAATTACATTTGCATCAACCTAATAGAAGATCAAAGGAGAAATGCATTGTATAAAACTTCATTGAAATACTTCATCAGTCCTTCCTGAGCATAAAAAATTGAGTGTTTTTCCCAACACAAAAATTAATCTGGTTAATCAGTGGAAGGTTCACAGTTGTGAATCTACTCTGCTAAAGTAGAAGAGAGAAAAACATTTATATAGTGATTACTGTGTGCCAGGCACTGTTCTAAGCATTTTACATGTTAATAAAAAATCGTCGTGGTTTTTTGTAAGAGGCAGGCTCTCACTCTGACACCCAGGCTGGAGTGCTGTGGCGCCATCATAGCTCACTGTACCCTTGAACACTTGAGCTCAAGGGATCCTCCCGCTTCAGCCTCCTGAGTAGCTGGGACTACAGGCATGTACCACCACTCCTGGCTAATATTGTTTTGTTCATTTTTTTTTTAAATAGAGAAAGGATCTCTCTATGTTCCTCAGGCTGGATTCAAACTCCTGGCTTCAAGTAATCCTCCTGCTTCAGCCTCCCAAAGCATTGGGATTACAGGTGTGAGACCCCCCCACAGGCATATGTTAATTTAATCCAAATAATAACCTTATTATAATCCCCATTTTACAGATGAAGAAAATGGGGATTTACAGATGAAGAAAATGGGGAGACACAGGGAAGATTAAGTATACTGACCCAGTATGTTGCCAGTAGGTCACACCAGTAGTAAAGTGGGGAGCCTGGATTCCAGCATAGGAAGTTTGGTTTCAAAGTGTCTGCACTTAACCATTGAGCTGAAGCCCTATCGAGGCCACAGTTCTGTCATTTTAAGACTGTAGTCTGCCTCATGGGGTCTCTTGTCCCTGGTAATCCTCAAGGCTGAAGTGAGGAAATCATTTGGGCTTAACCTGAGTGGTTCAGGGCAGTGTGGCCACCCTAACTGTTCAACTCCAGATGATCGTAGTCTTCTGAGGGCAGGCCAGGACACCATATAATATTAAGACAAACTCTGCTAAAGCCAGTTCCACTCCTCGCCTCCATATTTCTGTTAATAGTGATTTTTCAGTCAAGTGTGACACTTGGAGGAATTGTCTTTGACTTCTCCTTTCCCTTCACCCTCCATCTCATCTGAGCCTGGCTGTGGACCCTGCTACCTCCCTGCTTGTTTCTTCCTCTTAAATCTTGTTTCACATCCTGTTTCTCCCTCTTAGACGACCTTTTTGGCCCCCTTTCACTCTGCTTTAACCTGGTCTGGTGTGTTGATAATTTATTCTTAGTTGTTGCTTCTTAGCTAGTTTTCTTCCTCCAATTCTTCTTCCACTTCAACTATATACGTTGCCCTAAATGCACTTTTTGAGATGACACCCATTGTCATGTTCTCTCTTGTAGCCTGGTGTCCAGGGGCCTCCACAATCCTTTCATTCTTATCTTCTATGAGACCGAACTGGTCTACAAGGCAGGGTGCATCCCTGCCTCAGTGGCTACCATCCCATTCTATCGAGACCTGTGCTGTCCAATGGGATTTGCTGCAATGATGGAGATGTTCTCTACATTGCCCACTGTGGTAGCCCCTTGAAATATGATCAACAAGACTGAGGAACTCTATTTTTTATTTATTAAATTTTAATTTGAATTTAACCAGTCACATGTGTCTTGTTGTTACCATATTGGAAAGTATAGAACAGTGCACATCACTCAATACTGAACTCAGATCCTACCTTTCAAGGTACTGGATCTTCTCCTGTGACCTCTATCATTAGAGGTTTTCCAATTAGATCATTTATTCATTTATTCAACACGCTTATGTTTCAGACACTTTGCTAACCAATGTAGAGAATATAAAGGGGAAATTTGCATAGTTTCTTTCCTGTAGAAACTATACTAATTAGTACTTTGAGAGTACAAAGCGTAGACTACCTGTAGTTCTTTGTATTCTTCATAATATCTCCAGTGGGGCTTTGTACATAGGACAATCAGTTTTGCTGAGGACTAGACAAAGCTGGAAGCAGATGTTCAATAAAAGGTTCTGGGAAACTAGGTTGGTTGAGATAATATCAATCTATAGTCACAAGAGGACAAAGTCTAATTTTTTTAAGGTTTTTTGGGGAAGAGGAGGGAGGTATATGGTATTTGGAATCCTAATCTCTGTTCTGAGAATATAACAGTTTTTCTAATTCACGGGATCTTGTTTTCCTTTCCCGCTGTGTCTTCAGCCTTGATTTTAAGGGTTTTCCTTTGCTTAACATCATGAACCACATTGAAGATACTTTGTCCAGGACTGTTAGTAGTCTGTGGAAGCCTGCCCGCCAGGAGCAGGCTGGAACGAGCTGAGATTTGAGTCCAAATCTTAAACTGAAAGATTAATCAAAATGACACAAATCATCCTTATAGAATTAAAAAAATAATAATTCAGTAGGGAGGACAGGCAGTTTGGATGACCAGGGAATCTAATCTTCTCTCTTTTTTTTTTGAGACAGAGTCTCGCTCTGTCACCCAGGCTGGAGTGCAGTGGCGTGAAGTCAGCTGACTGCAAGCTCCGCCTCCTGGTTGATGTCATTCTCCTGCCTCAGCCTCCCAAGTAGCTGGGACTACAGGCCCCTGCCACCATGCCCAGCTAATTTATTTTTTTATATTTTTAGTAGAGACGGGGTTTCACCATGTTAGCCACGATGGTCTCGATCTCCTGACCTCGTGATCCGCCTGTCTCGGCCTCCCAAAGTGCTGGGATTACAGGCGTGAGCCACCGCGCCCAGCCTATAATCTTCTCTTAAAACAAGCAGAATTTCTACTAGACCATAAGGCTATTAAATAAAAAGTACTAGATCTACTCTTTCTATTCTTCCTCTGCCAGGAAACATGCCAAAGGAAGGTACATGAAAGCCTGCTTTTAGTGATCAGCCTCACAAATGTTTTAGGTTTTTCCGTGTTATGTGTGCATATATTACTAGCACAATAAGCAGTTTTGAGAAAAGATGATTTTTTTTTTTTTTTTTTTTGACAGAGTCTTGCTCTGTCACCCAGGCTGGAGTGCAGTGGCACGATCTCGGCTCACTGCAACCTCCACCCTCCTGGGTTCAAGCAATTTTTTGCTTCAGTCTCCTGAGTAGCTGGGAGTACAGGTGGGTGCTACCACGCCCGGCTGATTTTTGTATTTTTAGTAGAGACTGGGTTTCACCATTTGGCTGGGCTGGTTTCAAGCTCCTGACCTCAGGTGATCCGCCTGCCTCAGCCTCCCAACGTGCCGGGATTACAGGCGTAAGCCACCGTGCCAGGCCTGAGAAAAGAAATCTTATAGGCTACATTTCTTGGTTGATACCATTTACTGTACTTAGTTGACAACTTTGATTTACTGGCACTATGGGCCTTACTATCTACCTAAGTGACATGGTCCTGCCCCAACGTGCTCAGAATCCAAATAAGGTGCAGGATGAGAAAACAAAAGGTTTACACTGCAGCCGATGCTGACTTGTGCACTTTAATCATGCTGGACACGATTGAGTCAAAACCAAGTGGGCTAGAGTAGACTCTTTCCTCTGTCTCATTGTTTGATTTGCAAGGCCGGAGATCTTAGCCCCTCTCTCACTATGGTATTTCAATATTTAACATATCAAACAGTAAAGAAAATATTGATTATATCTAATTTAAAGCCCCCTGGCTCCAATTTCATCATATTTCCTTTTGTTTTACCCTCCTTGGAGATTTTATTTAGGGGCAACCTGATATTTTGATTTCTAACCACTTATACTCAATTCAAGTGAAATTATATACAGAGTTGTAGGAGTTACATGAGCCCTTTTATTCCGAGAGAGAGATACAGTGAGCAGAGCCTTCTGGCCCCACATGAGCTCAATCAATTCTTCTTCTGTCTTTGGGGCCATCACGATGTTATTGACGCATCTGTCAATGGTGCCTTCTCCAAAAGGCTCACTGTTGCTATTTGACCTCCCCACAGAGCTGGTATGTGGGACACTTCAAGCTTTATTTGTTCTCAGCCTCTCAAACCTGATTCTGTCACTAGCATGAGGGCACTGCTGATGCCTGAACAAACATCCTGCACATTGAAACCCAGCCTGAAGAAACAAGGCTGTATTTAAAGGCTGATACTCCACCCAACATCAAGATCCTGCTAGCTAATTCATTGCTTTATTTCTGAATGAGGTTAATCTTTAAAAAATTATACCCTAGTTCAGATCCACTTGTCTTTTCAGAGCAAAATCCTTCTACCTCACTGTTGAAACTATATTTGAAAGGAAGAACTCACTTTTTGGTCAGCTGTGTCCAATTTCATCATTAATTTTTTTTTTTTTTTAAGAAAGCAAGGAGAAAGAATACAAAAGGAGTCTGTCAGAGTGGAAAACATTGACCTCAAACAACATTTAGTCTTTAGGCTGCACTTAGCTCATTAAAATGAAGGTCAAAGTCAAAATCAAACTGTCCCACACATTCTTATATCCACAGAGGATAGCCATTTATAATCAATGTCCCACTTTTGCTCATTTTTATTTTGCCTCATTACTACCTGTTTCTGTAGTAAGTCAATACGTCAATGTTATTTATTTTTAACTTTTTCCAAAAAAGCGTTGGATTAGTTCCAAGAGAGTTAAAGAGAAAGGTTAGGACAACAAGAGTTGATGAAAGAACAAATGTCATGATAGATCAGCCAGTTCCTGTTTTATTAGGATAAATGCCTACAAGAAGACAGGGCAATGAAATCTCAGCTGTTGGATCACTACTAACCTTGCCTGTAGAATTCTTCACAGACCCTTTCACTCCACTGCTTGCTCATCTCCCAGATTCTACAAGGATTGCAAATGTCGGCACACTTCAAGGCGATCTGAGAAATGACAGGGCAGGGAGAGATTGTCAGAGGATCCTCCTTCAGTTGCAAAGCACCCCAAGCCAAAGGGGCTATCAAGCTGTTCAGTCTGCTCACAGTACCAGGCCCATATTTACAGAGTACCTCCCCGACATGCCTCTTCAGGAAACTGCACTTATTCACCACTATACAAAGCCTGCATTGAGAATGCTGGCTTTATAGCAGTGAGGAGAGAAGAGCCACAGTCCAAGGACATGTAGCTTGCTGGAAGAGACTTGGGTGGGCAGGCCAAGGAAAGCCATGGCCTGGCTCCTTCTGTAGTCCCACCTCCTGCAGGCAGGGAGGTTGCAGGGTCCCTGGCCAGGCTCAAGTGAGATCATCCGGACCTCACTCTCACAGTAGCCACACTGACGAACTCCATACATCACTTAAATTGTGCGTGTTGGCATTTATGTCTGCATGTGTAAACTCAGACTGCCAGTCAGGGAACGAAGTCATATCAAACCTAGGAATGCTTTGTTTGCACAGCTAAATTAGGGCCTTCTTGGCTTGCCTCACACTGGTCTGGATCTGGGATGCCAGCTTTTTGTCAGTAATGATGACCCTACGAGAGTTACCTTGAATTCCCAGAGAAGGAGATTATCCCTTTTAACCACCACCTGCTATCAAGGGACCAGTTCATTGGTTTGACACAATTCCGTGGGATCACAGAACAGAGAGCAATGTTGGAGTCTGGAAGAGCCTTGGATCATATCAACTTTCAAATTTAGTCGTTTATATTTGTTTCCTGGTTAGTGGGGGTACCAGTACATGTTGAAGTAGGTAAGTGTCAGAGAAGCCTCCTCCAGCCTCTGCCTTAAGGAATGCATTTGAGTTAGCAAGACTTCCTTTTGAAATGCAAGTGTTCAAGGCCAAATCTTTCAGCTATTCACAACTTGGCTTTAGTCACTCAAATCAGACACCTGGCTGATCCTTGTGGCATTCAGGAACTAGAAGCCTAGTTTGGAAAGAAATAAGGAAGGAGTCATAGTTCTACAGCTGGGAGTAGGGTATTTCCTGGCAAGGATGGAGCACTTTGGACAGCTACAGAGGGTAGCACAAAAGCCTGGAACAAAACTGTATGATTCAGTCTCCAGGTATAGCTCCATCTCCTCTATCTAGATGAGTCTGGGGTCCATTCACTGTTTTTTGAGCCAAAAGAAAAGGAAGACAAGAGAAAATGGAAGATCAAGAAAGAAGGTTCTGGTTTGGATACCAGGTCACATTTTTATTTGTGATGTCCACTCTGCCCTGATGTAATTTGTCATGTCACAAATGGCTTCTTGCCATGGAGTAAAACAGGAATGGACTTGACCCAATGTAATTCAATTCAGTTCGACTTTATTTTTTGCTGCCTAGAAATAAGACCAGATAAACATGTTTAAGACTCAGATGAAAATAGAAGTTTAGATAGTAAAAGGAAATCAAGTTAAATAGGTTTAAGGTAAAGGGAGGCCACTTGTCTTTCAATTTTTGTATGTACTGTAGTTAATATAATATGCTTTTGTGTTTCAGAAATAGACTTTTAAAATTGCATGGGTATCACAGTAGCTGATTTTATACCAAGCCACAAAATGTGGTAGACCTTTACTGCATGCAGCCATCCAGCAGGATTACTCTGTGATAAATGAGTTACTGAACAAGAAAAATGAGATATTATCAACTTGTTGACCTAAAACCCAGATTTTGCTTGGTTGGGAACCACTTATAACTTTCATGCATTTCAAAGCCTTTACTAAACTAGGTCACTGCTCTAACTCATACCATTGGAGATAACTCCTTCTCAAATGTGCTAAAATTATTGATCATGGCCCTGAGTGGATTTTTGTTGTTTTGTGTTTTTTTAGAGACAGGATCTCACTCTGTCACCCAGGCTGGAGTGCAGTGGTGCAATCATAGCTCACTGTAGCACAGCTGAGTGTTTTTACTCAACAAAAAGAATGACTTTTATTGTTTTGTTTACCTGAAGCATAAAGTGCCTGTCGTGTGCGTCCTCCAGTCTTAAGTCTTTATTGTGGAGGTGAGCTTTCAATCTGGTCAAAAATTCATTCTGCCTGTTGATGTCTGTTGCCAAGATCAAGGAGCCCAGCTGCTGTTCAATATCCTGTCTGCATCCACAAGAATGAAAGAGAAAAACACACACAGCAAATCCCTTTGATGAGGGTGATTGATTTCATCATCAGGTGGCTTGTAATCTAATTTCTGCTTTTGATTCTGTTTATTACACAATGTGCCAGTCTGTCACTGCCTAAGAGCAAGTTTCTCACCCACCAGTTCCGTCCTTGGACAGGAGGCATGCCAAGAACCGTATAAAGTGATTGAAACCTTGAAAAACGAAGTTGTGGTAGTGTAGACATTCCTATGGGTGAAAAAACCTGAAAGCCAAATAGAAATGCATGCTTTAGAGAGGACACAAAAGACTAGTGGAATCACGAGATCTGTGGTGTGTTTTTAGAGTTCATATGTGAAGATGTGCATGGAGAGAGAAAAGGGCATAAGAATAGTAATAAAAATGAAGAGAATAATAGTAAATGGTACTATGGGATGGAAAGATCCATCAATGGAACACAATACATAGACCAGAAAGAGATTCTGGAACTTCAAAAACAATAATTAAGACACTGTTACAAAACCAGTGGGCAAGAGATATATTAGTCAACAAATGGTATAGAGAAAATGGGATGTCTTAGAAAGATAAAGCAAGTTAGAGCTTTACCTCACATATAAAAAGTAATAAAGGAAAGATCTATAAATATTTGTAAAATTTACCTTTAAAAATAAAATAGATTTAAGTAGAGTGCATAGGGAATACATATATAGTTTAATGAATAACTAGAAAATGAACACCTTGTAATCACCACTCAGGTCAAGAACACTACCTGCCAGTATCCCAGAGGTCACATTTCCTGTTTCATCACATCCCCTTTCCTTTCAAGCCCGGAAGTAACCACTCTCTTGTTCTTTGTTTTAATACTTTTCTTGCTACTTTGGATTTTACCACCTGTGAGTGCATCTCTAAACCACACAATTTAATTTCAACTGCTTTTGAACTTTAAGTTATATGGTATGTATCAGTGACTGACTTCTTTAGCTAAACATTATGTTTTTGAAATTCCTTCATGTTGATGTGTAGGCTATAGTTTATCCTCTTTTGTTATAGTGTACACCACTCTGTAAAATTCCATTGATAATGAAATCCATTCCATTATCCATTCTACTTTTCATGGTCACGTGAGTTTTTTCTAGTGTTTGGCTACTATGAAAAAAGCCACAGGAAATATAATCATATACCTCCAGTTATGCATGTGCAGAAGTCACCCTAGGGTTTATATTCAGGAATGCAATAATTGGATGACAGGGTATGTTTACCTTCAATTTACTAGATAATGTCAATTATTTCCAAAATGATGGTATAAATTTGCACTCCCAGCAGTAGCAGATGAGATTCTCATTGTTCTACATTCTTACCCTTTACATTTTTTGCCAGTTTGATGGACATGTCATGCAACTCACTGTAGTTTTAATATGAATTTTCTTGTTTACTAATGAGGCTAGACATATTTTCATGTGTTTACTGGCCATTTGTACTTCTTCTTTTGTGAAGTTTCTACTCTGGTTTTTGTCTATTGTTTTGTTAAGTTGTCTTTTTCTTTTTGATTCTGAAGTTCTTTACGTATTTTAAATACCGGTCCTTTGTCAGCTACGTGTTGCAAATATTGTGTCTGTGGTTTGTCTTTTAGCTGTCTTTATGATGTCTATTGATGAAGTCTTAATTTTTATAATTTTTATTTTTAAATTTATAAATAGAGATGGGAGTTTCACTATGTTGACCAGGCTGGTCTCCAACTCTCGGCCTCAAGTGATCCTCCCATCTCCACCTCCCAAAGTGCTAGGATTACAGGCATGAACCACAATGCCACCAGGAAGTCTTAATTGTTAATGTAGTTTAATTTATAAATCTTTTTATTTTTGGCTAGTTTTTTCTCCTCTTTAAGAAATTTTTCCCAACTCTGATGAAAAATTTCCCTACATTATATTCTAAAAGCTTTATAATTTCACCATGAACATTTTTGTTTTTAAGCCATACATACATCTTTAATCCAGTTCTGAACATAAAAACAATTATATAAAACAGAAAATTTACAAGAGAAATGCAAAATATCTCAAAAAATAAAGTGATATTAAATATTAGTATAGCAGAAAGCAAATTCAAACCACTAGGTGACATTATTTCTCCCATTTTTATTGGTGAGGATTAAAAGTAATTGCTAAGTAATTTGCTGAATTATTGAAAGATTGTAATACCCAATGCTGTCAATGGTATCAGAAAAATGGTTCCCCTCATTCTTTGTTAGGGAGTATAAATCAGTACTATGTTTCTGGAGGGTATTTAGGAAAGAGTGGAAAAAGCATTTGATGAACATAAATAATTTGACCAACAGTCCATCTACAAATTAACATTAACATGTTAATAAAGATATAATTAGTAAAGATATGTTACAAAGATGCTTATTCTATTGTTGTTTATGATAATGAAGCATTCCTTGGGGAAAACAATCACAAAAATTTATAACGAGATTAGTGAAATAAACCATGGTACACTCATACTGTGCAATTATGAAGTATGTACACCTATAGTAACTGACATTGAAAAATGTTATCTTTTTAATGCTAAAAATGAAATGCAAAGCATGTAAAGCATGATCTCTCTAGTCATAGAAAATAAATTGGAAAGATCTATAATGGGATTATGGTTGATTCTTAAATTTTCTTCTTTATACTTCTCAAAATTATATGAATTCTTTGAAAATATGAATACTTAAATGTGTAATTGGAAAATAAAATTTTAATTAGGTGAAATGTTTCATGAATCAAATTAAAAGGCAAACTAAAAACTTCAAGTAATATTTACCACATATAACAAATGGTTGCTGTAGTTAATATACAAAGAGTTCTAACAAATGAATAACACTGATAGGAAAATAGGAAGAGACCAAATATAAAAATCTGTTCTCTAAAGAAATAGCAATGATCAGCAAATATATGAAAAATTTCAATCTTGGTTGTAAGTAAAGGATGCATACTAATTTAATGAAAACTACTTTCTCTCTATATATATGTATTTGTGCATATATATAGTCATACAAAAATGTCAAATTTGCAAATATTTTAAAAAGATAATAAAGATAAAACTCAGTTTTGGTGATGGTACATTGGTACATTTTCTTATAATCCATCAGTGGGAATACAGGTAGATGCAGCCTTTTAGAAGAACAATTGAATAATATACAAGAAACTTAAAAATTCAGACCTTTCTGACCAACAAGTTTTATCTACAAATACTTCCTGAGAAAACAGAGTATCAAAGTTTGGGATATTAGAAACCATTTAAATTCTAAATGAAAGGCAGTAGTTGTATACAATAATGCCATATGACTGATAAAATAATTTTAATTTATGTAGCAGGTTTAATAATTTGGAAAAAAAGTCTTTATAGTAAACAAAAAATTTCAGGACATAAACTGTAAAATAAGTTCCCCAAATAACCGTATTTTGTTAAAATAAGTTTGTTTTGAAAAAAGACTAAACAAAAATAAACTAGCCAGGTTAACGTGAACTATCCCTGGATGGCAGAATTACTAGTAATTTCAGTTTTCTCTTTCATATCAAGCTGAATCAATGAAAGTGCTAAAAATCTCCATTTTTGGCCCTTAAAAAGAGCAACTTCACATAGTTCAAACTAACACTTTCCTGACTTTTCCTTACTTTTTATAATTAAGCTGCCCTACTTTTAAAATCAGAAAAATGACATTAAATCATTTACCTGTGATAGAAGGAATAATAATAATGATTATGATAATGACTTTTGTTATAAAGTTTTCACATATACTATTGTATAACAATTATTCTTCTGGCAAAAGCAATTTATAACACTGTGTTCCACAAAGACACATAAAAATATATTTTTCAATGGAATCCATAGACATGAAATGAATATTTTAGGAAAGAAATATTAGTTGAGTAACAGGATGAGTGCAGGTACTGACTGGGAGAAGCCTGGTCACCCAAGAGTCCTTTCCCCTTTCTCTTGCATTTTCTTCTTTCCTGTTCTCACTATTCTTCCTTTCCTTCTCCTCCTTTCTTCTTTATCTGTCTCTCCCCTTACCTCTTTTCTCTTCTTCTCACTTGATTTCTTGCTCTAGTTTTTAGTTCTTTTTACATTTAATTCTCCAATCTTTGCAATTTATTATTTTAGTAAAAGGCATAAGTTTTTATTCCATGCACGAGAGCTGGTTTTATTTAGTTCCAGGGAGTAACAATATATCAGAACTGAAATTACTCCTGCAAATTTCACATTCCTCTGGGTGCTAGGAAATAGCATGAGATCAAATCAGAGGGCCAAGAATCAATCCACAACCCAGAGTATGCTGCTTGTTCAGTTGGGAGATACCACTTGGTCCTTGACCTCAAGTTATGTGCCTGTCTTGAAGGAGGGTACAGAAATCTATGTCCTCTTTTCACCTAAGTTTCTTGGGCTCTGCACGTGTTCGTTAAACAGATCAGAATTAATGGTGGCCTTGGAAGCCAGTATTAGCAGCTAACTTGGGGCTGGCAGGAAAACGAAGCAATGGCCTCAGATTTAGTGGGACTCGGCCTACATACCATGACTATCAAATAGTGAACCAGAAAACGAGTGTCTCCTCTTCTGTTTAAAGTGCAAGAGACATAAGGTAAATTAATTGGTGAAAAAACTGCTAGGGCCATTTCAATTACTTAGCAAAAGACATTTTAGAAAAGAATTTCTGACTTCTATTTTTGCTAAGACTGGCAATTACAAAACATACTTTTTGAACTCTAGCTTGAGAATGCCTGGGTTCCTTCTTGATAAATATTTATTACTTGGATCTACATGGGAGGACAATTTTGCTAAACTAAAGGACGGGAATTTGGCAAAGCCGAGCACTGATGCTGAAGCGTGTGAAAACTGAGAGCTGTTTATTATCCCTTTTCCTGACTGTAGGTCATTGACTGTGCAAGGCCCTTTGAAAGCACACAGAGATTTTGGTTTCTGGGTTGCTGTAACTGACACCAAATCTCCTCTGATAGACAGCTCAGTGCAGGCAGGAAGCACAGCCGGCTGGCTCTCTGCCATTCACGCAAAGGGTCCCAAGCCTGCCCTAGAGAAAGTGGCTTATCTTTACTGTGTGCACATCAGTATGTTTCATCTTGGCAGCACTTACGTCATTTCCTTTGGCAAGTGAGCAAGAAGCCTTGATTCTCGAAGCATGCCAATTGTAGATCGCCAGTGGTGATTCTCCAGGACAGACATATTCTAGAAAGAAAGAAAGTAAGAGTTATAAACGAGAGGGAAGCCAGATACTGATCTTTCATGCTGAATACAGCTCCACGGATGCCAGCATTTTCCCTCCAGTTTGTACCTGATGACACAGAGGCAGACCAGGAAGAAAAAAAACAAAACCCACAAGATAAAACAACCATGAGGTCTAGTCTCAAGGCTATGATGATGATGGGAGAACAGCAGGGCCGGCAGCTGACCCTCTGCTGCAGGGTTGAATAAGGATCTATTTCCAGCATCATTCACTCCTGCCTCTGCCCCTCTTTAAATAGCTCAGTCAGGCCATGCTAAATGAAAGAAAGTGAAACAGGTAGTAATGGATACCATGGCACTATAGTCATAACATAATCCAAGATTATACTAGCAGACTGATTGGAGGCAAGCCTCACAATCTCTGGTCTAATCTACTGCACTGACCATCATTTCTTAACACTAAGAACCTCCTAAGACCAAACCACCAGGGTAGCTGGTGACACATTCAGACTCCTGAGTCGCAGTAAATTATGGTTCTGATTTGATAGGCTTGTGGTAATACATTCATGTGTACACTAAGGTTTGAGAACCATTATCTTGCAGGCAGCTCTGCCGGTAATCTTTGTGACCAGTACCTTGGCATTTAGCTGATTAAATCCGTGAGTTGGAATCTACAATTGCTTCCTTGCTCAATTATCTTAACATTGCTGTCCTTGAGGGAACTTGTGTTATATTCAATCTCTCCCTTGACCTGTTATTTTAAATATGCTTTTTATCTGAACAATTAACCGTTTAAATGATGAATATTTCTTACACTCGATTGTGTTTTGTTCTAATTAGCAAACATTATGTCCTTACCACTGACTTCATAGATACAGAATAGAACTCCTCTTGACCTCAGGCAATATTTTATTTGTTCATTCAGTCTCCATTTTGTTTCAAGAGTGGTTATAATCTTACAAAACATAAGAGGATGGTTGCTATGGTTTGAATGTCCCCTCCAAAACACATGCTGAAACTTAATCCACAATGTGACAGTATTGAGAGGTGGGGCCTTTAAGAGGTGATTGGATTGTGGAGTAATCTATTTATGGATTAATGGATTATCATGGAAGATAAACTGGTAGCTTATGAGAGAGGAAGAGAGAGGAGCTAACACTTTAGCATGCTCAGTCCCCTCTCTGTGTGATGCCCTGAGACGCCTCAGGACTCTGCACAGTCTCCACTAGCAAGAAGACTCTCACCAAGATGCAACTCCTTCTATCCTGACCTTCTCAGCCTCTATAACTGTAAGAAATAAATTTTGCTTCCTTGTAAATTACTCAGTTTCAGGTATTCAGTTATAAGCAACAGAAAATGGACTAAGAAAATAACATTCAATAAAAAGTGAGAGACACTGTATAATTTCATGCATATGAGGTACCTAGAGCAGCCACAGTCTTAGAGACAGAAAGTAGAATGGGTGGTTGCCAAGGACTAAGGAGAGGGAGGAACAGGGAATTATTTTTAAATGGGCACAGGGTTTAGTTTTGCAAGATGAAAAGAGTTCTAGAGATGGGTGGCAGTGATGATTGCACATTATGAAAGTACTTAATACCACTGAATTGTACACTTCAAAATGGTTAAGATGGTAATTTTTTTTTTTTTTTTTTTTTTTTGAGACAGAGTCTCGCTCTGTCGCCCAGGCTGGAGTGCAGTGGCGCGATCTCGGCTCACTGCAAGCTCCGCCTCCTGGGTTCACGCCATTCTCCTGCCTCAGCCTCCTGAGTAGCTGGTACTACAGGCGCCTGCCACCAGGCCCGGCTGATTTTGTTTTGTATTTTTTAGTAGAGATGGGGTTTCGCCGTGTTAGCCAGGATGGTCTCTATCTCCTGACCTCGTGATCCGCCCGTCTCGGCCTCCGAAAGTGCTGAGATTACAGGCGTGAGCCACTGTGCCTGGCCTAAGATGGTAAATTTTATATTACATGTATTTTACCACAATTAAAAAGTAAGGGAAAAGAAGCAAGGAAAATAATATAGTGACGAAATGGAGTCAGAAGTGAGGCTAAAAACCATCCCATTGTATCATGCCCCTACTGTATCTGAGCCACCCATATCATGTTCAACGTTTTCAGCAAATGAGGAAAGAGAATCTCTGTTAGTGACACAATCAACCAATACTCCATTAGGAAAACACAAGTCAGAAAAGCTGCAACTGTTCTTGATTCTAAAACTATTCTTGATTCTAAAACTACACACTCATTTATCTCCAAGACTTTGTTATGAGGTAAGTTTCACGAGGCTGAGTCTCATACCCATCTTCTGTAGAGTCTGTCCTATTGCTATTCATTTCACTAATTGCCAAGGAGTCATTATTCTTTATTTACCACTTGACCATGTTTGAAGCAGTAATTAAATTTTGTAACTTTTATCAACCGGTCTATTAATTCCTCTTGGGCACACAACAAAAGAGAAGCTTGATTGGAAATCACATGCTAGACTAACTCGTTTTCATTGTAAAGATCTAGGAGAGAAGAGAGTGATAGATTAGTGTGATGTAACAGATGTTCAATTCTGCGATGACATTTAATTCAGTCGCTCATGAGTTCATTTGCAAGACTAATTCAAGAAGATGTGAATATGAGTGCCCTCCTGTTAGTTTTTCAAGGGCCAGAAAGCTGTAACAAGACCTGATGATAAATGACACCATATCCCCTTGTAGTGGAACAAAAATGTCTGGAAGATGGCCTTAAGCATGGTGATGTATGCCAGCCTGACTTAACATCTTCATTAATAATCTTCCTGAAGACAGAATAAAAGGATACTTGGGAAATTTGCTGGTGAAACCAAATTTGGAGATAAGCACCAGGGAAATACAAGAAAATTGGGTTAGCTTGGAAGCTGGTATGGATTAAAAGACAATAGAGTAGATGATTGCAAACACAGCCTTTGTGGAAGAGTCATTACGCATGAAAGCATGTTTTGGCCAGAACTGCGGTGGAAATAGGGGCACTATGGTGGTTTCCAGAGAGTAAGAAAAGAACAGCATGGAGAGGAGAGACTAACATTTATCAATCACCAACTCTGTGCCAGGCATTTTTCATGCCCTCATCTAAACCTCACATACCCCTCCACTATTTTGATCATGAATTCATAGGTCATAAAAAACTCAGGTTTCTTAGGGAGGCCACACAGCTAGTGAGTAGCTGAGGAAGGCCTCACCCATGCCTGCAGACTCAAACCTAAGCTCTGTATACCGCCCTTGCTGCCTCCCAAGAATTTTCTCTGTGCTGCCACATCCAAGCATCAGAAGCCTGAAATTGACAAGCTGATAAATACCTGGAATTATACCTAATTTGCCAAAATTACCTATAGTTGCTGCTCAAAAAAACAAACAAACAAAAAAACCACTAAGGTTGATTGTTCTAATTAGATACTAGTTTCTAAACCCACATTGGAATTCTTGCATTTACCTCTGAATCTGGTTCTATTGCTAAAAATCTTGTGACCTCTCCTTTCCAACAAAGCCCTTATAGTCCAAATAAATGATATCATGTTAGTAAGACTATAACTTACGAATATAAATATTAAATTATTAATATATGATGGTGTCCTTTCCTTTTGCTACCCTAATGCCCCCCAAGGTGGTTTATTATCTGCAAACACCTCTTTCTCTGTGTTCACTTATCAAACCAGCCCCTGCCTTTCAAATTTCACTTCAAGTACTTCATCCACAAGGCCATCTGCAATCATTCCAGGCAAAGGCAAATGCTTTATCTCCTGAGTCTTATACTCTTTTTGAATTTTTCTCTGGCATTCCAGAAGTCCTGGGTCCTATTAAATTCAGTGCCATTGATGTGTATTAGAATTCTTTATGCACTTCCTTTTCTTTTACTACATTATAAGCTAGGTATGAGTAGGCAGCTGACCTTGTTCCTTTTGTACCCACTCAAACCTATGCCTCACATAGTTTCTATAAATTTGCTAAGAAAACAAATTACTTGATTTCATTCAACAAATGAACATAGCACTTACTATGTTCTAGGCACTGTGATATGTGCTTGGAATACATCAGTGAACAAAACAGACAAGGAACTAGTAGTGGTAGAGATGGTGAATTAGTCTGTTTTCACACTGCTGATAAAGACATACCTGAGACTGGGCAATTTACCAAACAAAGAGGTTTAATGGACTTACAGTTCCACCTGGCTGGGGAAGCCTTACAATCATGGTGGAAGGCAAGGAGAAGCAAGTCACATCTTACATGGATGGCAGCAGGTGAACAGAGAGCTTGTGCAGGAAAACTCCCCTTTATGAAACCATCAGATCTTGTGAGACTTATTATCACGAGAAGGTCATGGGAAAGACCTGCCCCCATGATTCAATTACTTCCCACCGGGTACTTCCCACAATTCCCACAGAATTTAAGATGAGATTTGGCTGGGGACACAGCCAAACCATATCAGATGGGGAGAGACAGGCAATAAACAATAAACATAATAAATACTTTCATGCTGGAAAGAGTTGGATAGCATGTTAGAAGATAATAAATGCATGGAGAGAAGAGCAGAATAATGGGCATCTGAGAGTCCCCACTTTCAGATATAGTGGGGGCTGGTAAGGTAGTCATGGGGAGAGGTGAGATTTGAGCAAAAGCTTGAAGGCAGGAGGGAGTTAGTCATTCCTGTCTGGGGGAAGAGCATTCTAGAGAGAACAGCTGGAGCAAGGGCCTCAAGGGAGGAGCTAACAGCTGTGAGGTCAATGCACAGTGAGAGGGGAAGTATGAAGACATGAAGTCAGCAAGGTCATGAGACACCAGACCAGGCACAGCCTTCTGGCAATTACAAACATTTTGGTTTTTACTCTGAGAGAAATAAGGAGCCACTGCAAGGGTTTGGGAGGAGTAAAATTATATGACTTACATTTAAATAAGGCCACTTTTGGTGTATGTTGACAATAGACTTTGGTAAGGGTAAGGGAAGAAACAAGTTGAAATGGTTTGTATCTGTTTCCCCAGCCAAA